GTTGTAGACGCGAAATTTATAGAAAAGTTTAGTTTTAAGCTTAGAAAATAACTAGTTTTAGAAACAGTTCTGAAATCCTCTGATCTTAATCAAAATAATCTAATAAAATGGGGGGGGGGGGGGATCTTCGTCCCCCCCCCCCCCCCCCCCAATTAGGGTGCTAGACAAGGTGCCAGTAATTTGACATATTATTTCTATAACAGTTAGTGACACATACATAAATGTGTATTTAATAGCAATGTCGTGCATGGCTTTGCTATTCCAATTTCCTTTTAAAATCACAACCGTGCTCCAAAATACCTCGTCCTAAAAATGTATTTTATATGCGTTGATATAAAATAGGATAGGATGATCCTGGTACAGCACGACTGCTTCTTTTTATGGGGCCCGATTGAGGAAAGATACAAGCCACAGGTTCCTCATGCTGTATCTTTATATTTAACCTCTGTTACATGGAACGTACATTTTACGCAACCGTTTTTAGCCACATTTCTTTCAAGCTCAGTTTTTTATGTTGTAATACATTTCTAGAAATTTTCGAATCGATAATATTGATCCGATATAAAGCAATTACAGTATTTTCCTCTTCAACATTGGGTGGTTTAAGTTTCCTTCACAACTGTAGCCCTGTACCGCGATGCCTATTGTAGCGCGCTGAAGCAACTCGTCAGATGTAGAAAGAGGGCTTTCATCATAGTTGGTTTGGGTTTGATTGCCCCAAGACCAGAATATTTGTTCTGCTTCAGCGACTGCGGGGTCTAAACATAATTAGTGCGCACAAGCTCGTCTTAGATACGCAATTATTTGATAGGTAGAAGGATCCATATTTTAGAGAGTGGTACTCAGATGTTGTCTCAGCGGCTGTGACATCGTCCACGTTACTGTTAGCCGTATTTACAAACAGCGAGAATGATATGTGTATCTTGCTCATTTAAAAGTTTTTAAGGTCGTTTTCTCCTGCAGGATGCCACTTAAGACAAAAAAAAGTTTCGTTGAAGCGAAAAAAAAAAAAAACCAATAAAACCTGCAGAATGTTTTACATTAGACGCCGTGATTGTCCTCATGTGATGCGTAGGATACTCCACATTTTTTTATTGAAAGTACACATAATTTTCTCCGTTCTTAGATTTATTCTTAAAGCACGAACACTGAAAACTTTTGGTAAGTTCCAGTCACTGCAGGCCGCGAATTTACGACGTGGTGGAATAAACAACAACTTACTAACTTTCAAAAAAAAAAAAAACAATAATAATTACAGCCAAGTGTGCATGTAACCTGAAAATGTATTCCCAAATATTTTTTTTTATGCTGGCCGAAATCCAGCCAATCCTGGTTGTGAAGATTATGAAATGTAATGTTTTCGTATTTTCAACAGCATCTCTAAACTCTCTCGCAAAGGTGATGTCTTTTGCTGAGGTTGAGGGGGGGTGGGGAGGGTGGGAGTAAGAAGGCAGCCTACCATGTTCCGCATGTCGAGCTAAGATTAATTGCCAAGACGACACAAAGTGATCGTATTTATAAATCGCCCCAAAGCTATTCGAGCCACTGATACTCGAGTCACTTTACTTCGTACATTTTCCCGACTGTCCTCGTTCGCATTCTTTTTGCCGCTTGTTCCATAAGTGTCGTCCAACTTCGCGCAGACTCCAAAGGGTGCACCGCCTCAAGCCAGGTGATCGCGAGGGGAAGCCATACATCGCGACGTACGAAGGCGCGTTGCGCTTAGCGGACTATGCGAGTTGCGCCTTTGTTAGTTTCAAGTGTTGCGGCGTCGCCGTGAACGTTTCTTTTACAGCGGAGCTGTTAAGGGCTAGGTTTCCCGAGGATCGTGTCCGTGTATGTCGACACAAACCTATCTGAAGAGCTACCGCCATCTATAAGCGACGGTGGCGAGCACACAACCAGTATGGTTTCCGCCGTCGCTCGTAGATGGCGGCAACCTTTTCAGCTATAATAGAAGAATGGATAGTTGGGCGCATTGGTGGGAATTCATTGTAGGAAACAGCGTAAAAAACAGACGACGACGAAGCACACACTATATCGAGTACTGCTCCGCTGGTCTCCCTTTTCACAAAAGTGGAAAGGCTGAACGATGTTTTTTTTTTTTTGTAAAAAATGAGTTTTAGTAGATCGTTGCTATACTTCCGATAACAAGATCTGATACTCCGCCGATGCTTTTGCGTATGCATCGAATCGTTATCGGCTATCGTTAACGTAAGTACCGAAAATATGTATTAAAACTTTTTACCCCCGACGGGGATAAATAAATGCGACGCTCAGTTAAAACTGCAGGTGGCTACGCCTGCCTTTCTGGCTAGGGCTACACGCAGACGCAGATATAACTGTCTCCATCACTCTGCTCCCACAGCTTGGCTTGGGCCACATGCGTCGTTTCTCGAACGTTCCCCTATTTACGCAGCGTCGTATTTCGCTTTATTTTTCACTTTTCTTTAAATACAGAATGTGTTTTACCATTTAAAGGTCTATTCTAAGCCCCTAACGCCACGAAATGGCACGAAAACATAATTAGACGGCCTGGTACCTTTACGAGAAATGCCCTGTCCCTTCATTCCGTAATCCAATGCCCTACCTCTATGCGAGCGGAAAAAGGTTTCAGATATTATTCCGACACAAGAATTTTTGCAAAAATGACGTATTAATTTTTCTGCGCGTATACAGTCCACAAACATCCTCTGTGAAAGCACATTTACAAGTAGTCACGCAGAGACTATATTTGACAGCTTATACATGCGGGTGAAGTATTTGTATGGGCGTAGATCTGACCGCAGAGTCTAACTTGGCGATTCTAGGAAACTTCACGCAAGTGCACACAAGCAAGCGCAAACGCAGGCGCACCCGTACACACACACACGCACGCACACAGACATACGCACGCACGCACGCACACGCGCACGGGCGGACGCATGAGCACGCACAAATACAGGGTTTATACTTTTTAAAATGTAGGACACCTAGGCATGCATCAACTAAGGAGCACCAGTAGGGTTGACATAAGTGTGAAACACATGCACTGCTCACTCGGGATACATGTTCTGCAAGAAGCGACCGAGTTGCACGCGGTTTCTCCGCGTGTCCATCGATATTCCGGTATTTCCACAAACTATAAAGACCCAACAAGGAGAACATGTTGTTTGGGTCTCTACACACCCCTGAATTATTATGCTAGATTGCAACACATAAAACAATGCGCTATATCAGGGGTCAACAACCAGCGACCCGCGAGGGAACATTATATGGCCCTCGGCACGCGGTCAGAAGAGCAACGCTCCCCCCCCCCCCCCCACACACACACACACACATACGCAAAAGTCACTCACACCCACACTTTCCGGGACTAATGGCGCAAGTAATATGGTTAGTTGAGAACTATGTGTAATCGTATCCAGCATAAATTTCGTTCGGAATCGCGGGTTGTAGGATTGTCAGTTTCAACACATTTTTTCACGCTAATGGGTTTATATGGGGAGAATCTCCGGTGAGCTTGGCACGCGACCCAAGAAGAGAGTTCGAAGTACGGTTCGCCGAGCATCAGCCTTGGTCAAGTTCAAGAGCATTGCCAGATCGATCTCACTAACACGCAAACCGAAGATAACTTTTTAGCTTGCATTCGAGGTGAATGGCTCCATTAAGTTTCTCCCTGAGCTCCCAGAAACAATATTTTTAATCTTCAAAAGCGTGCAGCCGCCTCAGTCGCAGTTCTCGCTATAGGCCAACGCGTATTTGCGAACAAGCAAACACGAGCGTGCGCAGGAACCAGATTCGTGCGAAGTAGAGCATCCGCGCATGCGTCTTGCCAATTAATAGCATCGCCATCGCGACGTCGTGACGTCACGGCCGCGCGTTTGTGTATAAAGAGCGTATATCTGCGAACGTCTTTTTTCCAGGAGAGAGACCACGGAGTCAAACGTAGAGATGAGTCCCTCCGAAATGTTTTACGATTCTCAGTTAGTCGCTGAAATGTGAATCTTTGCACCGTGGGATATTGAGTAAGAGCGCACAAGTCAAGGAACATGGTACCATCTTTGCATTTCCCCCTGAGCCGAGCGCGGACGATGTTAGGAGCAGAAGGGCCAATCAAACAGCGTAAAAAGGGCAACGTCATGGTGTGCTCGCTGCGCTTGATTGGACTAGCCAGCGGAGGAGCGCGCACAGAGAGACGGCGAATACCGGTTAGTCCTATCAACTGCAGAGAGCACGCCATGACGTTTGCCTCTTTCGCTGTTTGATTGGCCCTCCGGCCCATAACATCGGCCGCACTCGGACCTAAGCTGAAATGAAGTATAGTTGCTTCGGATTTTGTGAAGCCGCGGCCTATGACGCCACTATTTCACTGTTAAATTCAACGGGAAGGTTTACATCACGTGGCCTGAACAAAAATTAAGTTTCCCCTGTAAAATGACGTCACATGGCTTTACGTCACGTGACCTCTACACAAAGATCAGTTTCCCCGCTAGATTTAGCGGGGAGATTGACGTCACGTGGCCTCGACACCGATTCAGTTTCGGCACTTCATTTAGCGGGAAAAATTACGTCACAATTACGTGTCACGTGACCTATACACAAATTCAGTTTCTCCGCTGGATTTAGCGGAAAAATTGGCGTCACGTGACCTCAACGCAAATTCAGCTTCCCCGCTAAATTTAGTGGGGAAACTGGATCTGCATATAGGTCACGTGACATAAAATTAGGAGACATCATTTTCTCCTCTACATTTAGCGGGGAAATTGAATTGGTGTTGAGGCAATGTGATGCTAAACGTTTGTGACGCAAGAAGTTTCACGTGATCCAACAAAATTGCCTAGCAATTTGCCATACAATTTTAGAAACCTGCGACAGTCTCCAATCTAACGCCAACGCGGGAAATCACCAGCTTTTTTTTCTGTTTTCTTCTTTTTCGCCTGCCGCATTTGTGTTACAGCTGCTGCGAGTTGACAGACGGCACAGAAAGCCGAGAGGCGCCACCGTGTACTTCAGCGTACCCTTGAGCAACAGCGGGACTCTCGTCGATGACTGCGATGCCCTGAGCGTCGGCCTGGTCCATGAGCTCTTCGGAGTACGGGTAGTGGGACGTGCGGAACGAGTTGGCCCCGATCCACCGAATCAGGTTGAAGTCCTTCACAACGAGCGCCAAGTCCAGGCCTCTACCCCGAATCTGCGTACAGTTCACGATGGTCGAGTAAGTCTGGGAATCCTGCATCACTCATTTTCTTTTTTCTTGAAGCATATGTAGGTTAGTTTGATTATTTCACGAAATTATAAACTTAAATTCCAATAGACCGATCTCGCTTAGCGTTCCACACGTACGTGACGCCGCCGATAGGAGGCAGGTTTCAGTGCACGGGACTGCTCGGGCCGCCTCGGGTTTGCATATCAAATACAACGGCGAGCAAATTGTCTATCACCAACTGAGGAAACGAGTTCGTGAACAAGAGTCAGTTAAAAATTAGTTGTACGTACAGACCGTTGATATACTTTCTGTTTGATGCGTTCAAATCATCCCTTAAATTTCACTTCAAGCGCTTGCTCACCATAGTTGCTCACCCCTTATACTTATAATCAACAATATCTTCTTCGTGTTTGTTTTGTAATACTGTTCCTAACGGTAACTCAGCAACAATGTGCTATTACATTTTATCATCCCGCATGTCAGCGCCGTCTGATCACCAGCATAAAAGTACGAATTTACCTACTTGTTTTATTTTCAATATTTATTTTTCTCTACAAATCTCGATTTATTGCAATTACCTACCGGCCCCTAGCAACAATCATAAAATGATTATTTCGACAATGATAATTAAGCAAGACGATCTATGTGACCTTGTGTAGCCCGTTCCTTTCTCCGTGTGGCTTCCTTTGCACGCGCTCTCCCCCGTGATGCGTTCGGGCACAGAGAAAATTAAATAAAATCGGGCTGTGAGACCACTTGCATCGAATTCGGATATAGGTCCTGCACCCAAACCGAACTTGTCCAGTGCGCGAAAGATGCGAAGATGTACAGCGGGTGTAACATTTATCGCGGTTATGGGTACACGGGAGCACGTAGAGTCTGCGGGTAGTGTCAGGACACTCTCACGTCCCGGTGCGCAACTACAGCGCATCTGCACTGTGTCTGCATCGCGGCAGTTGCAGTTGCGTACCGGGCCGGCAAAGTGTTGTTATAGTACCCCATGACACTTGCTTACTTCCGTGTTCTCACAGACTGTGAATAAGGTATTACCTTGTTCGTTGCATTCGATCCCCTTCGGTCCCTGCCTATACCAAATTTAGCCTTTAACTGTTTATTTTCTCAATTAAAAGAGGAGGGGAGGGGGGGCGGGAGGGGTAATTTGGGTAATTTTTTGCAGATTGGTGGCCGTTCGTGTCGACTTCACTGCCAATTTCGGCACGTGTCATTTGCTCCATGATCGTAACATCACAGAAGTGTCGAGCTATCCTAAAGGACGTCATTTCGGACACCTACAGAGCTGTTTATACTACGACATAGCATCAGCGAGCATACGCGAGATTTTCTTACTAGTTTTTGCATCGACGCCACCTTTCCTTTACCTAAGATGGAGCTCGACTCACGCGTACGCAGAAGAGTGGTGCACTGCGTAAAAACATCCACATAGTTCGGGCTTCGATCACAATACTTCACCCAGTATCAAAGTTCGGGTCAGCTTGAGTTTTCTAAACAGCTGCTAAAGCCTAAAACAATGAGCCGAGAAACTGAGAAAGAATAGGACACGAGCGGCACGTGGGAACGTCCGAACGCTGAGCTTTCTTTGGATCTAATTGACAGATAGTGGGTAGAGCTCAAGGCAGCTTGCGTTGAGGGCTTCCCACAATCGTTCAACAAGGCCAATCAAAGCTCAGCGTTCTGACGTCAGCAGAACTTCTGCAAAGGAGGCCCACGAACTTGCGCTCCGCATAGACACAAGGCCTTCGGCCTCTTCCTCCAAACGTCGTCACTACTGGATCGACACAGAGCCTCCTTGCTTTTGCCCACACCGCCGCAGCCAGTGTGTCTTGTAGCGTCTCCCAACGAATGCGACTCATGCGGTGGCGCCAGACGCACGCATCTGCTGCCACACGGCATACCCTCGTTGAGTTTGAGCGTGTTTTCCGCTCGGTGTGGGTTGGGAATCCACTAACAATGACAGCAAGCGCAGGTCTTATCGTCTAGGTGGCATTAACTCACGTCGGCGTCCTCGTGCATGCCGAAGCCCGTCAAGTAGAGAGGACGCTCGTTGAGCAGCAGCTGCGTCTCCGTGGCCCGCACAGTACGCAGTCCGAACTTCTGGTAGTAGACGTCAGTGACGCCGTCGAGCGTGGCTTCCACCTGCGAGAACGGGGAAGTTAATGACCATTTGGACAGCCTTGGTCGGTAGTCCCCACCGACCGCGAGCTCTACTTCCGGCTTCACGTGGGATTTTCTCATCTGGCTGGCTTGAGTCGGTACGTCGGCTTCTCTTATTCCTACCTCCATGATCGAGAATAATTGCTTGGATTATATTTCAACAGCTTCAGCAATATGCCTGTGTTTCTCGGCCAGGGGGCGCGATCGCGTCCTCAAGACTCGTCCGTGTAATCCTATGGCGCCCGGAACGCGTCTCCCACTAATGCGGTTACCGTGTCAAAAAAAAAAAAAAAAAAATTGCGGTGGGTTAGTTTGGCTATGCCAGGATATACACCGCGTGAGCTTATGCGCACAAAAGGAGAGGCGCTATCAAGCGGCTCCTGTGCGGCGTCAGACTTGGCTACTGCGCAACGGAGGCGCACAGCTGGGCACGCGGCGGCGCCAGTGCGTCTGCCGCGGCTATGACGTCACTGCCCTGGAATGCGCAGACCGGCCAGGCGCGCGCGGTAGCGGCGGAGCGCGCGGCGGTGGCGGCGGCTCCGGCACGCCAGCTGTGCGCCGTGTGACGTCACTGCTCCTCGCGCATGCGCAGACCGGCGAGGCGCGCGGCGGCAGCGGCTCCAACGCGCCAGCTGTGCACCGTGTGACGTCACTGCTCCTCGTGCTTGCGCAGCACGGCTCTTTGACAGCCACGCGAAACTGCTCAACCTCGGCCAGTGTAGCTCACGCTATAAAAGTGGCCCATTTCCGCCTGATGGCATCGCAGAAGTGTCGAGCTGTCGCCGGTCGCGATCTTGGCGGTGTCCTAAACAACTGTAATGTATCCGGGAGACGCCTGTTCTGCTTCAGGTCACTCTCCAGCTAGATAGTCCACGGAAGCAGCCGGGACTTTGAGGACCCTTGACGAGAGCGACACTCACGACTGCTCGTGCTCTTTGCCGGAACTTCTACGATCAACCTCCAGGATCGCGACATCCGACAGCACGACATTCCGGCTTTTGTGATGTCATTTGTTGCCACTTCGGGACCTCGAACGCACCATTCGGAATAGGACCATAAACGCACCAATCCGAGACGCGTTCCAGGCACCTATAGTAATGCTGACTGTAGCGTTTGCAAGATGCGACCATACTGACAATGAAATCCGCCTAGAAACAGAAGGAGAAAACGAGATGAAAGCGCGCGGAGGTGTCAGAACGCCGAGCTCTGCTTGGAGTGATTAGTGGTTAGACCTAAAGCTAACTGCCTTTGTCTCCACTGAACTCGTAGAGCGCGTTTGAATGCGAGAGCCAAATCCCGGACGCCGGCATTCCGCGTTCTAACGTGTTCGATGAATGCAGTGCAGACAAAGGCAGCTAACTTTAGGTCTACCCACTAATCATTCCAACCAGAGCTCAGCGTTCTGACACCTCCGCGCATTCTGGTCCCCTCCTCTCTTTCAGTTTCTCAGCGCATAGCTCCCGATAATGCACGATCCACGTTCGAACACAAGCGTCTGTCAGGTCCTGTTTATGTGTGCTAACACAGCAAAAAAAAAAAAAAAAGGTGCAGTTTGTGGTTTTAGCGTTTTATCGAAATGCCAAAAAGGCGTTCTTTATAGTTCATTTTTTGTTTTCTTTCATAGCGCCTATGAGCAACGTAAAATAGCTTAATGATGCGCAATCAAAATGTGCCATGAAAATATTATATTTTGCTCGCCAGAGGTGCTGCTCAAAACTCGAGAGCTATATGCCTATAGGACTGTTTTTCTCGGCCAGAGGGTACTGTTACGTCCACGTGACGCGAGAACTAAAAAAAGCGCTTCCGCTAGCGCCTGCGAGACGTGACCATTTCATGCTGACGTGAAGTGACGTCCTAGCGTCCCATTATGATCGATGTACGGGCAAAAACCAGCGCCTGTTAACTTTCCTCGGCATCTGTGTACGCGCACTAACACAGCGTGTAAAAGAGAGTAACGTAACCCACAACCAAAACGTGACCTAAAATATAAGATTTTGTTCGCCATGGGACTCAATCAAAACTTGAGAGATATAAGTATATAATTGAAGGAACGAGTTTATAAGAGAGCGTGGGAACAGACGGGATAAACACAAACACCAAGCTTTCAAATCGCCAGATTGAACCAGCTCGACTTTATGCCCATCGTGTAATTTACAGTCGCTCACGAGTATAGAAGCCCTGAAACCCAGATGGTTGAATCAGGATTTTCTTGAAGGTTGGTTTGGCGCCTCGTAAGCTTGAATCCTGTTCCTGGAGTGAAAATGAAAAGACAGTTAACCCTCATTCGTGATACGACTTCCTAAAAACGCCTCTTCTGAATCCAGTGGTTCTCAACCATTGATGTTTCACGAACCCCTTGTGCATCGGCGGATATGAAGACCTCGTTTGTGGTGAGGGAAAGACAAATGTGTAGGTTAATTATTATGATGATTTATTAAGCGGGTGTAACTAAGGGCCAGTGTAAAAAAGGCTCTTCTCATTGACATACACACGAGAAAACTCACCCGAAAATTGGAACGTTCCTTCTCAATCTAAAAAAATACAACTTTTATTGCCGGACTTGACTGATAAAGCAGTGCTTCGCGGATCCCTAGAATGCCTTTCCGGACACCCGTTTGAGTACCACTGTCTTAATCGTTGCTGCTTGTTAGGCTACTCAGAGCTGAAACTTTGAGAACATACAGTAGCGCTTTAGACACGGACAAGAGGGGAGAACAGGACAACAAAATCCTCTACACTGTTAGCAAAAATAACATGCCCAGACGTGTAAACCGTTGTCCCATAGCGGACACGTCGAAACGTGTTCGTTTTACACGAGCCCATCTGTGTTTTTCGTCTACACATGAGGTGCTGTGTAAACTTAACACGCTACACCGTGTCTGCCTTCCGCAAAACCGTTTCGAGCGTGTTCCTTATGAAACATGGCCGCCAGCGGCCGAGAACAGGCGAGAGACAAGCCCAGCGAGCCGCGCGCCTTTCAGCTGAAATGAAAGCACACAGGGCGCGTTAGTCCTCGTTCGATGTCTTTTATACACAGTAAAGTCTCCAAGCGGCGGACCTAGCTACTTGCAAAGGTACGTACGTGCGTTGTCGGCGGTCGGCGGCGTCGGTAGCTTCAACAAACCGCTAAAAAAAAAAAAAAAAAAAAAAAAAAAAAAAAACGAATGCCGAATTTACATAGATAAATAACTTGAGCAAACTATTTAGAATCGGGCGGTAACTTGCGCCACCTATCGAGATTTCTAGCAGCCTGTTTTTTTCAAAAAAGACGAGTCTGTTAACACTGTGAACGATCACGACTACACAGCAACCCTACATACAACGCAAGGAACACAAGTACCACGTACTACACAGCACCGACATATACACAAACACAACAACCGACACTACACCCGACACTTTCTACTCGATATCCATTTCTCCCCGCGGCGGATATAAGCTTGACATGTGCGGGTGAGCTCTTTGGTCGCTGACCATTACAGATTTATAGAAGAATACACAAAACACGGCGCAATGGACAGCCGTGTTTTAGAACTGTTTGCATTTAAAAAGTATGGAGGCAAAATCTATAATGTTAGTCCGCTGCAATAAATAACGATATGTTAACAATAAATCTTAAACCGGTCATGAAAAAGTTAAAATTTTTGTTATTTTCTTGCTTGACCAGTGTTATGAGCAGTCCGACTAGCTTGAATCAGATAGGAAAACAAATTATTGGGATTTTGTCATTACGTATACAATAATAAATGAAAATGATCCTTGCGCAAAGCATTTTTTATATATTTTTGAGAAGGACATCCGGACATCCGCCCAATACTTCACTTCCGCTAGTTGCAGCAGTTGCAGTACGGGAGCAGACGCCTTCACTTTTGGGGCGTTTTGGTGCAGTTTGTTGTCGTATGTCGTGTCGGTGTCGAGAAGAGCGGTGGGGCTTGGGAGTTTGTGACCGGTGTTATTCGTGAACACTGATGTGGGGCGCTGATGCGTCTTTTTTTTTTTTTTTTTATACTGCCACCATCCCGAACTTTGCAGATACACGGGCCCGTAGCAGTGCATTATGCTGAATCGCGAGCTTCCTCTCTGTTGACGTCGCTTTCCTGGTACCACTCGTGGATACTGCAAGCGTTTAAACAGTGTGCACCGTCTCGCCTACATCCCCGGTGACGTACTCGACCTGTTGAAACTTATTGCTTCCGTCATTTTAGAGTACGCAAGGCAGTTATCTCGTTGGTCTGGTTTCGGTTATAAAAGCAAGGCAAAACGCTCGTAGTTCCCGCCCTCAGTACACGTTGGACATCTTCCACACTTTGACACCAGATAACTGAATGAACGAGGATTTACATTCACTTCCGAGGTTACTCTCGCCGCTTCCTCACCGTTGAGCAGCAGGATGAGCTGGCGACAAGCCGCGGATGAAAGGCTTGAGCATCAACAGCCCAAGCGCACTCGGTGCCGATGCGGGCGACGCGGGTTTCTGTCAACCGGGAGGCCAGCACAAACCGTGACCGTTCCAGCTCCTCGTTATGACACGGTGTTGCAGAGAGCAGGGTAAAATACAGCTACACGGATCACCGAAGCAAACGACTGCTATCTTAAATCTTGGCTTGTGATTGCGCCTTTGTAGTAGATCATCTTATTCGTTTTGCTGGAGAGACGCAAATGACGGGCATAGCAAAATCGCTTGCATATTCCGCACATCTCACAAAAGCATTTACCCTGTCACCTTGCGAAAAGCGCGAAACACGGAGTCCGCACCGTCTTCAGCTTCCCGTTTTTTACCTGCTTCAGAGCAGTTTGTACCTGCTAGTAGATATGCCTACTGAAACTTAAACAGGGCAGTGCCAGAGAGAAAGAGACAAAGTTGGGAAAGCTTGCTCGCTCTCCAATTTCTCAACTCCCAAGTGATTGTACCATAATAAATGCACCAACGCGTCTTCCAAAATAAAGAAAGAGCACTTAGTTCACAACATAAACAATGGTCTCAGTACATGCATCTGTGGGCAGGTAGGAAACCTTGCCCTAATTTATTCACGCCGCATGATTGGCGCAACAAACTCGTTGCAGGACCAAATCATCTACTCGAGCGGTGTGCGTCGCTATGCAAACGCAGTCCAACACGAAGCATAAAAAACGGCAGATTTAAGACAACAATCCGGAGACCATTATTCAATTAAAACAACGTAATTTTGTTGAAAACGCCCGCTGCTTCTTACTCACGGTATGTGTCGGGATACTTCCACAGTCTGAAACGGAACGAAGGAAGATTTACTTTTAAAAACGCTCGCTGCGTCCTCCCGGACCAGCTGGACCGGATCAGCTGACGACGACGGGACTGTACCCGTTGAACCTCCACCACGCAACAAACAATTTGCGCTCCGTGTTAAAAGCGTGGTTCAAACAGACCCGGAATACAAAGCACCGCACCACACACGACGAATGTTTCAGCACTTTTTCGCATCGCCGGGTTGCACCAAACAGAACGAGATCGCCGAAGTCAACGCCGCGCTGTCGTGAACATTGGCTTGTGGTTGCGAACTCGTGAACCCTGTGACTCCCTTCGCTTTCAAAGCACACACGACGATTACGAATGCTACTTTCCGTCTTCCAGGAACATCACAGGGGCACTTCTCCGGTCACGTCTTCACTATGTGCTCGCAAACTCCGAAGCTCTATGCGAAGCTTCTCGCGTCCCGTCAAACCAAAACAGTAGCGGCGCCATGCGTACTTGCCAGATTTTCTCCGGTCAAACAAAAACAACGAAAGCCAACCGGCGCTTGCTTCCAGCGTACATCGGCGTTGCGCTTGCGCCGTGGCCAGATCGCTTGCAGTTGAAGGTTGAAGCAAAAACGAAACCAACTGCAATGTCACGTGTTCACATCGAGGACACGCTTTTTATATCCATTTTAACTGTTTGGAACGAATAATTAGACCCATGACTTTATTCGTGGTGTCTAAGAAACTGTTATCAGGACCCCTAAACTAAATACAAACATGGGCGACATGAGGGAAGCCGCATTGCCATCGACCAGATGGCGGCGAGCACCGTAAGCGCAGGTTTCGCCAACGTCCTGCGACATGGCGCAATTGCTTTTGGTGCATATCTGTCTCCGAGACATGTTTCTTTCCGCGGCATTTGTCTCGACGGTCCTTTCTAAGTGTGTCCCCAAGCATTCCGGTGCTTCGATAGCCGGCAATGCCGCGGTCGTCGCCGGGGGCGATGCGTGTTATCGAGGTCGGCTACACGGTTATGCGTGTATGACCGAACCAAAACACGTTTTTTACAACCTCGCATGATTTCTGAACGAATTATCCGTTACTCATCGTGTAAATTTATGGTAATTTGTGTAAGTAGCGTGTTTTTCACCCCAAATATTCGCCAAATACACGGGACTTGCTAACAGTGTAGCTTCAACTGTTTATAATTCAGGAAAACACGGGCACAAATGCTTTAAGACATGGCGCCACTCGACCAATGGCCTGCCCTTAGGCTGTTTGCAAGAACTGGGCCTCTTTATCCGCCAGATCAATCGAAGCCAAGCTGACGCACCGATCCCCGTAACTCTTTCTCAGCTCTGCCTCCATGATTTCTCGTACCGTTTTATCCTTGTGATGATCGTGCATGACTTGAAATCAGATTTGCGTCCACAGTCATGACAGTGCATCGACAAATGGCCATCCCGTTGCCCCCTCACTTGCATGTTGCGTTCGCGTAATCTATCGTTGACACGCCTTCCCGTCTGTCCCACGTATTTCCTGCTGCACATCAGCGGGATCTGATAGACTTCTGCTTCTGCGCATGCTACAAACGGGCTGCGATGTTTCTTCAGGCAGCCTACCGGGCGTTTGCGGAAAAGGTCCGTCAGTTTGCACATCTTGGCCAGTTTTTCCGGTGTCAGGAAAGCCGCCTTAGCGTTGACGCGGTTTGCTACCTTCTTAATATTGTGTGCGGTTTCGCGATTTTTGTTTGTTTCGGGTTGTGTCGTGCTCTGGACTGTCTTCTAGTCATAGCTTCTTTAAAACCCTTTCGGCAACAAACACCACGAGAGACTCGGGAACACCGGCCGCCATCAAGCGTCCCAACTGGTCATTAGGGCTTGAAGGTATCTCACGTCTACACGACCTTCTTAGGGCATTCATAAAGCATAAATTTACAATTATTCTCTTAACGAGTTTCGAGTGGGAGGAGTTGAAAGATAACTGGGGCTCATTGGCGCTGGAGAGGAGGTGTCAACGAGAGATTACGCGAAACACAACCGAGAAGCGAGTGGGCAGCTGGATAGCCATTCGCCGATGCACTATCGTGACTGTGGACGCAAACCTAAGTTCAAGCCATGCACAATCATCACAAGGATAAAATGGCACGGGAAATCACAGAGGCAGACCTGACAAAAAAATTAAAGGATCAGGGCGTCAGCGTGGCTTCGATTGATCTGGCGGACAAAGAGACCCAGTTCTTGCGAACAGGGACGGGGCAGGGCATTGATGAGTGACGCGACGGCGCAGAGTATTTTTACCGCTGTTTTTCTTAAACAGTTGAAGATAGCGCATCGTGTTGTCCTGTTCTTCCTTCTCGTCCGTGTCTAAAAATGCCACCATATTCTCAAAGCATCTCCTTAACTCGTCCGAGTGATGTGATATCGTGCGTGCGTGCGATATCATATCATTTCCCCCAAGCGTTTTTGGCATGTCTGATTTGAACATGGACGAATATGACCCCTTTTTGCCAGTGAGGTGTTCGCGGTAGAAGGAAAAGAAAGGCCATGCTCTGACTCCGCCATTTAGTTAGTCTAGCTTGAAAAGGCGGCAGCTCTCCGCTTCTCCACTTCACATTCTTTCCGCTGGGTGGTGTTGCTTCCTCTGGAGTTGCGAATAGGAAGGATATAGAATTTGAGTGATCATCATATACTTCCATTTACCTAGAAGGCAATCTCCGATACAATTGACGAGTTGATCGATTGGTATATGCGTGACTCAAGAAATAAAACCATCGCCACCCTCACTCTGCGCACATATCAGTATATGACAAGGCATACGAGGCATACCGCGCGTGGCAATTTTTTTTTCTACCATTAGAACAAATAAATTAAGAGAAGTTTTACTTAACCGATATACTTCGTTTCTGTTAAGTCCGACGCAGCCGACGCTACGAGGTTAAAAGTCCAACCAAACAGCGTCAATAGCGCCAAGCCCCGAGGCCTTTGATGTTTATGATTGGTTTAACGATGATAGAACACGCACGGTAACATGACGCTGTCTGATTGTCCCGTGAGCTCATAGCGTCGGCTGCGTCTGGACTTAAGAAGTATACCAGAGTACACTTTACGCAAATCTGGAGCAACTACTCTCCCACAAGGCCCTCGGGAGAACCATTCTCTGCAATGCATACGGTGAATGACGAGACGTCATTCGCAGAGCTCTACGCGTAGGTTGCACGACTGGCTTTCCGAGGCACTTTGCGGAAGAGTAGTATTTCTTAGAGCGTAGGCGCGTAGAACAGTTTCTTCCTGCCTTGGCCATGTACTGGTATCCTGGGACCCGGTGCATTCCCTGGGGCCACCAGAGCTTGGGGTTGGTCACGCCGAATGTCCCCGAGCAGCCTTGTCGCACGAGCACGGGCCACCCTTGGTCGTCCAGCAGGGTCAGACGACAGTTCACCTTGGGGTCGGGCGGCAGCACGTCGATGTCATACTTCACGCTCGCTGCGTTTTCGTAGAGACAAATCAATGATATCAATGTAGCTCGCGTAACTAGAACCATATGTGTCACAGGGCTTTCGGCCCTCGGGGTTTATGACCCTTTTGACTGTCTTGACTATAAGATTATAGAGAAGGCATAAATTGAGACGCGTACAGGAGCTCTTCTACGGTACCACCGATTCGGGCACTTTAGGTGTGCTTTGGCAGCTCTAAACTCACCTCATTCTATGTACCTTCTTGAATGAGTGGTGCTGCTTGAAAGGTAATATAACCATCTTTTAGAGCGCAGCTCTTAGGCGCCCGTTTCCGGCTTGAGCGGCGTCGCCGTCGGCGTCGGCGTAACCAAGGTCACCCCAAGGTCACGTGACCCTGGGGGTCACGTGACCTTGGGGTCACCTAGGGGGTGACCTGGGAGGGGTCACCCCAATGTCACGTGACCCTTCCCAAGGTCACTCCAAGGTCACGTGACCCCCAGGTCACCCTAAAGTCACGTGACCCCCGAGGTCACGTCGTTACCCCAAGGCCACATGACCCCCTCCCAAAGTCAGGTGACCCCTTCTAAGGTCACGTGACCGCCCCCCAAAGTCACGTGACCCCCGAGATCACGTGGCCCCCCCTCCCCGAGATCACGTGACCCCGCTCCCTCCCGAAGTCACGCGACACCCCCCCCCCCCCCCCCCGAGGTCACGTGACCCCCTCCCCCGAGGTCAGGTGACCCCCCCGGAGCATATTAAAGAATGAGGGGACGAGGAAAAGAAGGAGGAGGAGGAGGGGTCTACCCTCCCCTCAGTACCCTTCTTTCCTCCTCAAGAGCTGCACTCCAATTTGGCATTACAGGGAGTTTTAAACGGCGTTCATTTTTAGAGCGCAGCTCTTAGGCGCCCGTTTCCGGCTTGAGCGACGTCGCCGTCGGCGTAACCAAGGTCACCCCAAGGTCACGTGACCCCTCCCAAGGCCACGTGAACCCCAAGGTCACGTTACCCCTTCCAAGGTCACCTCAAGGTCACGCGACCCCCAAGGTCACACGACCCCCCGAGAGCACGTGGCCCCCCTTCCCGAGGTCACGCCCCTTCCCCCCCGAAGTCACGCGACACCCCCCCCCCCCCCCGGAGGTCACGTGACCCCCTCCCCCCCCGATGTCAAGTGATTCCCCCGGAGCATATTAAAGAATGAGGGGAGGAGGAGGAGAAGGAGGAGGAGGAGGGGTCTACCCTCCCCTCAATACCCTTCCCTCCTCCTCCTCAAGAGCTGCGCTCCAATTCGGCCTTACAGGGAGTTGTAAACGGCTAACTTTTTTAGGATATAACTTTTGTTTTAGGCAGGGTGTCGAACCGGAACCGAACCGAACCGAAAACCGGAACCGAACCGGTATTTTTTCCGGAACTGAACCCGAACCCGAACCGTTATATTGTTATCGCGATGAACCCGAACCGGAACTGAACCGGAAAAAAATAACGGTTACCGGCTCATGTCAAAACGGTTCGGCCACGCGCTGTTGACAATGAATGTGCTATCAATGCCATTTGTTTTTTAAGTGCCGTCAACTGACACACACCTCGCTTACATATTTTTCTTCTCCACTCATTCTTAGGAATATAAACGCTGCATCCATGAATCTTGACATAGGAACCAGTATTGCGCTGGTCGCGGCTTGCACGGAAGAAAGAAAATTGGAAGGCTGTGCAAAAAAAAAAAAAAAAAAGGATCGCGTCACGGGATTTTATTTTCCTACAATCTCGTAAATCGTAAATGTTGCTGTGTGCTCATTTCATAACACGTTTCTAGAACACGCGAGTTCTTGAAGCTTGCTTCCATCGGAATGAGAAAAGAAAAGGTTGTGGAGTTTGATAATAATGCATCCGGTTTCGTATAGGCACTTAGAAGCTAACATATTTGTGAGACAGCGAACTCTTATATTTTAATATTAATCCTATTACGTCCTTCTGGCGTTGCGTTCGGTGAAGTGTTTTTCACATTCCGTATCTTGTTTAATGAAAACTTCTTTAAGGGTCTAATCTGAGTTACCGAAGGCTAGTTCAAACAAAGAAAGCTGTATTTTCTCCCCACTGTTCCTTCAATTGCTTACACGCCGAGGTGGCGGGATAGTTAGCGAGTTCTACTTGTAAGTGGGTTCGTAAGGAGGTCGCGGGTTTTACAGCTGCTGCGTCGGACCCAATTAGATGAAGTCCGAATGCGTAAACGTCGGAGTGGTAACCTTTGAGTGCACATAAAGAAACCATTCCTGGTAGAAATCCCTGAGCCTTACACTACGATGTATCCCGTTTCGTATGTGCTGATTTCAGATGTTTTATCTGTAATTTATTTTGATGTTGCAATTTGTCATTTATAATTTCCGAACCGGTTCGCGAACCGGTTCAGCGCCCCGAACCGGTTCGCGGATCGAACTAATCGAACCGGAACTGAACCGGAACAAAATAAATTTACCTAAACCTGAACCGTAACCGAACCCGTATTTTTTTCGGTTCGACACACTGGTTTTAGGTTGTTTGTGGATAATTATAGCGTCGTCAATAGGGAGGCGCGAACTTGTGAAGGGGCCATTAAAGGTAACCCAATTTCAATGGTTTAGTTTTGTTAAGAAGATATGAAAGAAAATGTTGAGGAGGGTTTTGTATTACTTCGTTTCGTACAGCACCCCATATATTGCCCGAAAATCACATATTTTCAGCACGGATATCTTTTTGGTTATATACACTAGACTTCCAAAGGTTTTTCACGCACAGGTTTTGAAATTTTGGTAAAGTCGAACTCCGGAGGTATTTGAAGAAGCGAGTGGACGAGGGCTTTTTTTATTTAGATAAAACGTAGATAATCTAAAATAATAAAAAAAAACAAAAAACGTTTCCATGCTTCGTGGTGACACCTCCGTACATAATTATCAATAAGTTTCAATTGTGTTTTTAATGTATTCTTATAGAGCACATGAGAAACTAAATTGAAACTAATTGATCATTCTTGTAAGGGCCTCGTGGGAGGCCGAGAAACTGCTGATTCCTAAAGTTCGAAAAATCGTCGAGGGCGGTGCTGACACATCTATCATCATCCTTGTCAATGTTTGTTTAGCTCGGCAAGTCGAAATGCATGCAAGGTTTATTGATGAATGAATGCTTCAGGTCGTGGCGTCTGATTAATAAATTAAATGCATTAATATTAGTATTTATTGATGTTAATTATAGTTCCTACAAAAGGAACAGAAACTATTATGCTTGAATTTATTAAAAATGACCGCCTCTGCACGTGGTGAATGATGTTGATTGGGGCGAACTCCGGTGGTGCTGATGATACTGATTTTTTTCATAGATAGTACTGATGATGCTGATTATTTTTTTATTGCTCATTGGTAGTGCTGAGTGCCGGGGGTTGCGTTTCGACTTCATTATTACTGCTTTATGGTCGGCGAAATGCAGAGCCAGTGGTTCTTCTAGCGGATCAGCTTGGATCCGCTAGAAGCCGTGGGAACGCATCTCCACCGCTTAAAGGGTACTGAATCGAAACTTAAAATATACAGGGAACACATAGAGATAAGTCAAATGGAATCAGATAAACCTGTAATTGATAATCGCATGGTCATATTTCAAGCGGATGGCTGTATTTTTTGTTCTAAATGCCTGGATTTCGGCGAGCGCTTCAAAATCAGCCGTCGAAGAGCGGGATGCATGTCGGGAGATCCGGCGCGGTCTTGACGTTATCATGCCTCGGAGGACCAAGCGTACCGTAGTTATGAGTCTTGCCACTTGGTGGTGTCAGCGTGTTACAATCTCGCATAGTCGAAGTACCCGAGGGCTGTAGTAGCATATTGCGGAGCCGGCAGAGCGGCTTCAAGTGAATGGTTGCCGACCAACGCGACGAGAGCGGTGGGTAGATGACATTAATAAGGACGAAGATGCCGCCACGACGCTACATCACCAGGGCACGATGGCCGAGAAGCGATTCTGCCTAGAGTCGTATTTGTACGACCCATCTCTCTTGTCTTCATCGTCAGCAACAGGTAACAGAGCTTATTCACAAAACGATCTTACAGCAAAACCGAAGAAATGTACCGTATTCACGAAGCGAAATTATCGCAAGTTTTTTGCACGCTACGATGAGATCCTACGACCACGCCTACGACAGCTACAAAGCTTTACGCACTTTTTGTGATCAAATTTACATCGCCAGCCACATCGCACGCTTACGTCGTCGCGACGACCAACATGCATATCTATGTGCTCTCTGTGCGCGTCCCAACGAGAGAAAAGAAGAAAAAAAAGTAATTGAAACTGAACGCCGCGGCGGAGACAAACGCAAGAACCATCGATACCTGAAAAAGCTACAGCGACAGGGACCCACCGACCAAGCGACCACCGAAGGCGCTAGGCTTAGCAAAACACTTCGACGATCCGGGGCAAGACCATCTGCGCACGACCGGCTGGCTTGATGAATGGAATAGGCCCACGCGACATTTGTGGACCCTCCTATGAATAGTTTGATCTCTGACCTCTAATTTGGGGTAAGAAGGTCAGTCTTTCCCCTCGTCGTCCCTAGCTTGTTTTCAGGTGCAGCGGTGACCAACGTTTTGTCGAAAAAGGAGACACTCCTATAAATTCTATCTCCTTTTTTTGTGTGTGTTATAGAGCTCAAATAAACGCCATATGAATTGCCTTCGCAACATGGGTACGTACACTTTCGTTTAGATGTCCATTTTATTTCGACATGATACGCCAACACATGTCGAGTTAAAGCAGTTTTTGGGAGCGACTCAATGCCAGTCCAATCTTTCTCTGCCGAGCGTCTCGTCAGCATCGAGTGGCGATTGTCTAGAGGCCCAGCGGTTCATAAAATCGGTTGTAAAAGTCCGTTCCCGAAGCGGCTACCAAGAACGCTGACACTCTTTTACTCCAAACGTATCTTCCTGGACGTTGGCTCTCTCTCGCATCCCCGAAAATCGCCGCAGGGATTTGTTTACATGCGCGCCGCTTTGCAGAGCCGTACGGGCCGTCTCC